AAGAGCCACAGCTAAGCCACTATGGCTGTGTCCTGGGAGCAAGAATGATTCAACAAATAAAACACCCAGCTACCTCTGAATCTCAGGTAAACTCTGAAGCGTTTTCTTATATATACAAGTCTGTATGTCATACGTATGTCCCAAATGTCTTGTGGGACAGACTGAGACTAGATATTCAGGATATCCTTATACTAAAAAAAATATGTTTTGCTGTTTATCTGAAATTCAAATGTAACTGAGCATCCTGTGTTTTATCTGGCATGCCTAGTTGTGAGTCACTGAGATGTGAGAATTGCTTGTTTTGTATTGTTTTTCCCAAAACTCCAGCCTTACTCAATGAATACAACAGCTGGCCATGGTTCAAGAAGGGGTACCTGTGCCAGTCTTGTATCTAATATTGTTGGGGTCCTTAGCTGCCATCAAGTTGGCCCCCCAACTTGTTGCAACCCCATGTACAATGAGATCAGACCACGTGATCCATAGGCTTTCATGGGCTGGTTTTTCAGAAGGCAGTCTCCAGACCTTTCTTCCTAGTGTCTCTTAGTCTGGAAATTCCATTGAATCTTGTTCCTGGTAACACACAAGCCTCCCTTGAAAGGCAGGTGGTGGCTGCATATGAACTACACTGGCTAGGGATCAAACCCAGGTCTCCTGCATGAAAGGAAAGAACTCTACCACTGAGCCCTCATGACCTCACAATATTAATATGAGTAAAGCTTAATTCTGACCTCCTGAAATTAGAAAAATATTAGTTACAATTCTTCCTGCACCCCAGTGGACAGTCTTTAGACACCACAGCTCTGAAGTGTACACAAAAGTAAAGGCAAAAGTCATTAGCAATTTCACTTAAAATGCAGATTTCTCAGCAGTCCTAGTATGATGTTGTAGGATAAGCAGTAGACTGCTAACCACAAGGCCAGCGGTTCAAACCCACCAGTCGCTCCTCGGAAACCTTATACAGGATCGCTATGAGTTGGAAACACCTCGGTGGCACCCAACAACAATAATGGCTCCAGACAGACTGATTTAGAATCTGGAGGTGGCTGGAGAATCCGTTCTTTTAATAAGCTCCTGAAGCAAATTAAATTATCAGTGGAGTACATCTGCAATTTCATGTTTTAGCAGAATTCCTGGTATAGCAGAGTCATTGGGTGATAGAAACAGTTCGTGTGCTCAGTTGACCGCTAAACAGAAGGTTGCAGATTTGAGGTCATCCAGAGGTGCACTTGGAAGAAAGGCCTGGTAATCTGCTTCAAAGAAAAAGGAAAAAAATCAGCCATGAAAAACTCTATGGAGCAAAGTTCTATTCGGACTCATGAGTCAGTCAACTCAACAGCAACTTGTTTACTTGGTGAACTAGGAAGGGAGGAGATCTGTGTCCCATTCCTGAGTGTGCTACCCAACTGTCTCCCTATGATGTTCAACAAGTCAGCTCTCCTGTTAAACTGCTTTGCTCTCACTTAAAGAAGGAAAGAGTTCAACTGGAAAATCACAAATATTTCTTCCAAATATTTCTAAAAGCCCAAGATCCAGTGTTGTTAGGTGCTGTCCAATTGGCTCACTCTCACTGTGACCCACGTACAGTGGAACGTGCCACTCTCTGGTTCTGCAGCATCCTCACAACAGTGGCAATGTTGGAGCCCACTGCGGCCACCACTGTGACAATCCGTTGTGTTGAGGGTCTTTTCTTTAACACTGACCTTGTACTTTACTGAACATCATATCCTTCTCCAGGGACTCGTCCAAAGTGTGTGACATGAAGTCTCTCCAACCTAGCTTCTAAGGAGCATTCTGGTTTCTTCCAAGACAGATGTGTTTGTTCTTCTGACAATCCACAGTATTTAGTATTGCTCACCAACAGCATGCATCCTTCATTATTTCTTCCACTTTCACTTCTCTAACGCGCTAGAGCAAATTTCAGAGTCTCCTCTGGCAACCATTTTGTTCCACTTTTTCTTTCCTGTATTTTCAATGACCTTTAGCTTTCTTCACATATGATGCTCTTGATGCCATCCTACAACTCGCCTTGTCTTTCGTCATCAGTGTTCAATGCATCCAAATTCTATTCTTGAGATGGTCTCTAAATTCAGCTGGTATATCCTCCAGCTCTATGCACTTGTTTTCAGTATCTTCAGGTTAAACTTGAACTTGAATTTGCATACAAGGGGACTTCAAAAGTTGGTGGGGAAAATCCATTCTCTTTTCAATCGATTTTTCCATTAACTTTTTGGAAACTCCCTTGTATGCACAATCGATCTGCTTGGCAGTTGATCCCAGTGTGGTTCTGACTGATGATGTGGATCTTCTAAAGCATCTCTTGCCCACTGATGCAGCTGATTTAATTCCCATCTGGTGAGGTCCAGGTGTGCAGTCTCCATTTATTTTGTTAAAAACAGAGTATTTGCAATAAGTCATTATTCATTTGCAAGAAGTGGTCTTGCAAAATTCTGTCACTAACGCCATGCTTCCAACCGCAAATTCTTCCTCTTTGTTTCCAATTTTTGCATTTCAATCAACAGCAATTATCATTGCATCTTGATGGTATGTTTGATCAATTACAGACTGAAGACACGGCAGAACACCTTCCGTTTCTTCATTTTGGCATTAGTGGTTGGTGTGTAAACTTGAGTAACAGTCATAGGAACTGGTTTCCTTTGTAAGGTACAGATGTTGGTGTTGTTAGGACTCACAGTGACCTGATGCACAACAGAACGAAACACTGCCGGGTCCTGGTCCATCCTCATGGTTGTTGCTATGTTTGAGCCCATTTCTGCTTCTACTGTGCCAATCCATCTCATTGGGGTCTTCCTCTTTTTCATTGACCCTCCACTTTACCAAGCATGATGCCTTTCTCTAGATAAAGTCTCGTCATCCTGGCTTCTAAGAAATATTCTGGCCGTACTTCCAACACAGATTTGTTTGTTCTTCTGGCAGTCCACGATACTTTCAATATTCTTCTCCAACACCATAACTCATATGGATATTATCCCATAACTGATAGCATTGTACTTCAGGATAGATATAGATATGTTCTTTTGGACAGTGAATGTGATACCATTCCCTTCAGTTTGTCAGCCCCAGGAATGCAAAATTATGCTTTTCCAATTCAAAAGTACCAATACCAATCCATTTCAGCTGACTAATGCCCAAGATATCGATATTATGTGTTCTATTTCATTTTTGGAGACTTCCAAATTTTCCTAGATTCATATTTCATATATTCCATGATCTGATTATTAAAGAATATTTTACAGCTCTTATTTTGAGTCACACCACATCAGGAAATGGAGATCCTGAAAGCTTTACACCAACCATGTCATTAAGGTCGACTCTACTTTGAGGGCTGGTGTGGCACTGTAGGATAAGCACTTGGACTGAAAGATCAGTTTGAAACACAAGGACAGTGGTTCAAACTCACCAGCCACTCCTCGGAAACTCTATGTAGGGTATCTATGAGTTGAGTTATGAGTTGGAATCAACTTGACGGCACATATCAGCAGTAACTACTTTGAGGAGGCAGCTCTTCTCCAATTATATTTTGAGTGTTTCCCAACCTGAGGTGCTTGTCTTCCAGCTGTAATTTGTAAGGTTTTCAGTGACCAATTTCTTCAGAAGTAGAAAGCCAGATCTTCCTTTCTAGTCTGCTTTGAATGTAAGTTTCACAGACGCCTGCCCACATGCGTGACGCTACTGTTATCTGAAGTGGTGATGTGTAGCTTCCAGCATCAAGCAACACGAATCACCACAAGACAAGCTGTCACAGGAGAGGTGCCTAAGCCCAGTAGGTAAGGTAAATGAGTGAGGTTGCTAGGTGTGCTGGTGCAAGGTCCTGTGGCAAACTGAAGGGCACACACACCCCATTCTAAACATTCAAGAGCGCCCCACTCTACCCGCTGCTATTTTTAAACACTTTTCTTTTCCTAATGGAGATTCTGAGTAGATAAAGTTATAAAATAATAGTAATATGTTTATAAAATTTTGTTGTTGTTGTTATGTGCCGTGTAGTCGGTTCCGACTCATAGCGACCCTGTCCAGGGTTGCCGAGGGTGTAAATCTTTACGGGAGCAAAGAGCCTCACCTTTCTCCCGTGGAACAGCTGGTAGTTTCCAACTGCTGACCATGAGGTTTGCAGCCCGATTCGTAACCACTACGCTCCTTATAAAACTAGACTTTACATAAACATGCTCTGATGGATACTTTTGAACTAACAGTTTGTTTGTTTTTTTTTTAACCTTTTTAAATCAGCCTGAGAAAGTACTGGTGTTTAAAAACAAAGATTTCCACTATCTACCTAAAAAGAAAAGATTCCAGGAAACCGTTGTTCCCCTCCACCAGGAGCGACTGTGGGTCAGCTCCACCAGTCACTTAACTCTACCTTTGGAAGCCTGTTCCGGCGCCACTTACTCTGTAATTCATGCATTAAATAAACACTGAGCGCCCCTTGTCCCTCCAGTCCTGCCGCCCGGGTGCCAGCTCCTACCCAAGACCCCGGAATTGTGATGCAAGGGAGGAAGCTAATAGGACCTCGGGGTTCCCTCACTTGGCACGCCTTCCCTTCCTGGCAAGGGGCCCTTAAAGCTGGGACCAAGGCGTCCTGGCATTTTATTATAAACTCTGGCTACACAATGAGCACCGTCATCCCCGCCTCGTCCCCGTCACGGGAGTACGCTCAATGCAACTATACAGCCGCGAATCCACATTCCAAGAACTGTCTGCCAACAAAAGAGGCAAGGAGTCGGGGGTGGAGCCTGGGAGTCAATTACCGCGAGAACTGATCTCCCGAGGAGGCACTGAGAGACGCAGGCGCACTATCGTCTTCCCGCCCCGCAGAGAGAGGCGGGCAGGCCTCTGAAACAAACCTCGCAAAGTTTGTTTCGTCAGCACGACTCCTTCCTGTCAGGGACCGGAAGTGCACTCGGCGGGACGTCTCTGGCGCTTCCTCTGAGCTTGTCGCGCTGCTGGGTCCGGGTTCCTGCCCGAGGCACCCCGGGGCCGAGAGGATGGGGGACGTGAAGGAGACCGGGGTCGAAGCTCGACCCGCCGGAGCCGAGGCTCGGGGAAGGCTCAGTCTTTTGCCACAGGCTGAGGCCGAAGAGCCTGCACAGGTGAGCGCGCTGCGGGGCGGAGTTCGCCAGGTGCCCGGAACCGCAGTGTCCTCTGGCTGCTTCTCTGCGCCTCCCTTAAACTGGGCGAGTAGCCTCGTCGTTAGTTTCACCGTTCGTGTCTGCAGCATCCCCGGCGTCAGGTAGCCACGGTCTCTGCCCGCCAGGTGTGCACCTGTCAACGGGCGGTTCGGAATGGAGTCCCGACTGCAGAGCCGGAGGGGAGGGAGATGTCAGCGGACCCCGAACTCGCCGTGCAGGTGGAGGTGGAGGAGCCGGCGAATGAGCTGCTGAATCCATTCCTGAACGTTTATCCCGCATGCCTTACCGCCAACTCTCTTTTAAATGGAGTATGTTGGAAGCAAAATACATTTTCTTTACTACAAAGCCAAAAACCTGAACCTGTTGCCTTCTGGTCGATTTTTAACTCATAGCTACCCCGAGGCCCACCCTGGGTGATGCGAGCAGTTTGGAGCCATCTAGCTGCTCCGCGAAAGAAAGGCCTGGAGACTCGTTTCTGTAAAGATGGCAGCCTGGGAAACCTTAACACCTGGGGTCGCCGCGAATACCAAGCAGGTCTTAGTCAATTTAGTGTTTAGGTGATCTGATGCTCCAGGTATCATCAGCTTTTTGAAAGTTCACTTTATGCCATTTTGTTTTTATGAAAGACCTACAGTAGCACTTGTTTCCGAAATCCGGACAGGGTATTTGCTTTTTATAAAATAAAAGTGATAAAGTAAAACTAACCCTTAGAGCCACCGAGCAGAGAGAGTGACACAGTGGTGACACTTTCTAAACTCTCCTTTCTCTGGAATGACACTTCGCAGCTTTGAATGGTCTGTGAACGCTGTGGGTTAGTGTTGTTTTGGGCATTCCGTGTTTTTTAGTTGGTTGGTTTTTTTTGGGTCTGGGAATGCTCAAATTTTTTCTCTCCTGTATAAATTAATAGTAGTCTCCTTACACCATTTTGGCATGAGAAAGGGATCAAAGGAATGCTTTAGTTTCAGATAGTGGAGGAAACCCAAGCTGCCTCTCCTTGATTTCTGCTAATATGTGGATACATTTTGAAAAGCAGACTGATTGGCCTGCTTCCCAATCATTACTGCAACTGTCATACGCCTTGGAGTCCTGGGGTGGCACTGTGGGATAAGCACTTGACCACAAGGCCGGCAGTTCAAACTCACTAGCTACTCCTTGGAAACCCTATTGTGGCAGGGTTGCCATAAGTCAGAACCAACTCGGTGGCAGTTAACATCAGCAACATCATAGTTCTTGAATCACCATCTGTCTTTATGTGAAAAGAGCTAAGTAAATCACTGTGACATTTCGTGCTGCTCACTCATTTATTAAGTGCTGTCAGAAGTATGTAATAATATATTTTCTTACTAGGTCTGATGGGGGTGTGTGTGTATACATATGTATAAATGGGGTTTCAGTTCTAAGTAACCATCATTTATAATTCATTCCATAGGGGTCCTCCTTGTTCCTCGGAGGCAGTGAAGTGAAGAGCCGCGCGGTGGTGAAATACTCTTCTGCCCCCCCTCGCACAGCCTTTGCCCGCCTCGAAGAGAAAACGGACTTGAAGCTCCCACCAGCCAACTGGCTGCGGGAGAGTGCCAAGCTAGGGCCAGCTGGAACTACCATTCTTGGCAATAGTAAGAAAAGCAAACCATTTTCAAGGTAAATATTCCTCAGTGGGATTTTTACTTCTCTTCCCTCTGCCTTAAAATTTTAATACTTTTGATTTGTACTTGTCATCGAATTGCCCGAAATTTCTTTAGAAAAAGTTTGTATGTGACTTTCCAAACCCTTTTCTCCCCCTAGTATAGGATTAAAATATTTACGGCGCTCTGGTGGCACTGTAGGAGAAGCATTGGCCTGCTACCCTTAAGGTTAGCAGTTCACGCAGGAGAAAGGTGAGGCTGTCCGCTCCCATACAGATCGACAGTCCAGGGTTTCTGTGGGTCAGAGCTGACCCCCAGCGGCGGGTACAATACGAAGACACCGATTACTTGTCTTTTCTCCTTCCACACCTAAATTGTGTTAAGAGCAAAGCTGAGCTTTGAGCAGTAGAATTCCATCGGCTGTGTTTTTTTGTTTGTTTTAAACACATGTCCATGCTTTTTGTGAGTTTAAAGAAACAGAATTAGGGTAGTGCATAGGAGGAAAACCTTTAACTAGAATGACTGCCCTGTAGAGTTTTTTGTTCCATGAGGAGGTTGTCTATGAAAACCTGCTGTGGGAGACCCAGCTTGTGGGGTAACTTGCGCACTGGGCTGGCGCTTGTTGGCAATCCTGCAGGCAGTATTTATTAAAAGTTGACAGAGTAGCCTGAGGACTCCCTGCTACCTACTCACAGAAGACTTGTGTCGTGGACCACTTCTCAGGCTTGTCATCGTAGATGTGCCTCAGCAACTACCCAAGTTTAGTGCTCTGTGAACGTGTAGTTCTTTAAATCTCCTGACTGAATTGGCGTCGTGTATTTTAAAAACAGAACATTATCACGCATCACTGAGAACAAGTCAGGAAAATCGTAGTTTAAAATCGGAAAAAGTACGCAACAGGATTGTATTCTTTCACCGTACTTACTCAACCTGTATGCTGAGCAAATAATCCAAGAAGCTGGATTATATAAAGAAGAACGGGGCATCAGGATTGGAGGAAGACTCATTTAACAACCTGCGCTATGCAGATGATACGGCCTTGCGTGCTAGAAGCAAAGAGGACTTAAAATACTGATAGAGATCAAAACCCACAGCCTACAGTATGGATTGCACTTCAGTGTGCAGAAAACAAAAATCCTCACCACTAGACTAATAATATCGTGATAAATGAAGAAAAGACTTCATGTTGTTTGGATCCTCTTTGAACACTCATGAAAGCAGCAGTCAAATCAAACAACATATTCCATTAGGTAAATGTGCAGCACAAGAACTCTTTAAAGTGTCAAAGAGCAAACATGTCAGTTTGGGGACTAAAATGCATCGGATCCAAACCATAGTATTTTCATTTGTTGGACAGTGAATAAGGAAGACCTTAGAAGAGTTGATGCATTTGAATTATGGTATTGGAGGAGAATATTCAAAGCACCATGGACCTGCCAGAAGACCAGACAAATCTGTGTTGGAAGAAGCACAGCCAAAATGCTTCTTAGAAGACAAGATGGCCAGACTTTGTCTGTCATACTTCAGACATCTTCTCAGAAAGAAGCATCCCCTGGAAAGGGAATGTTTGCTAAAGTGGAAGATCAGTGAAAAGGAGGAAGACCCCAGAGAGATGGATTGACACCGCGGGAGTAGCAGTGGTCTGAAAGGTGACAGCAGTCGTGAGGATGATGCAGGACCGGGCATTGTTTCGCTCTGTTGTGTGTTGGGTCACTGTGAGTCGGAACCTAATAACAACAATCACTAAACCCAGAGATCGCTCAGAGAAAATAGCTAGTTCAAGACTATTGTTTTCAGATGGAGATAAAGACAAAATCAGGAGAATTTATCAGAATTCTAGTTTTGGGGATCTGTGTTCCTTGTTATAGTCATTATTACTGTATTTCATCAAATCTCAGATGCTGTTGATTTTTTTTTTTCTAAGTTTTTATTGTGAATTGAGTGATAGTTTACATGGGAGAACCTCAGCTTTACATTCATCCTTTCGTATTCCATTTCATTACAATGATCACAGTCTCCTCCATGTATCATCATTCAACAGTATTTGTTTCCATTCCCTCTGGTTTTTTTTTTGGCTGTACACCAAAGCACTCAGGAACATATAATCATACTCTGCAAGCCTGCCTCCCCGGCCGCCAGCACACAGCACCTCTTCCTCCCATCAGTGTAGAGTCCCCAGCCACTCCATCTCTCTACATCATCATCTCTGCCTCCATCTCTGGTGTCACTGCTTCCCAGATGCCACTGAGTTTTAAAGACACAACATTATTTAGGTGCCACTGAGACCTTCTGCTCCCATAAAGATTGACAGTCTCGGAAACCTTATGCAGGGTCAGTATGAGTTGGAACTGACTTGACAGCACACAACCAAGAAGGAAAAGCAGCCAGCTCTGGTGGTGCTTTGCCTCCTGACTTTCCACCGTGAAAAGGATGTGTGTGTGTGGTGTGTGTGTGTGATCCTCATAGCCTGGGAATGCTGTACTCAACGTTCAAAACGACTGCGTCCCATGAACATACTCTGTTAATGCATGGCTGGTTTCCCTCCCCCAGTTTTGGTATGGCGTACGACTTCATTGACTCGGTGGGAAACGATGTGGATGTTGTCTCCGACTCAGAAGTAAGTGGTGACACCCTGCTCAGTGCAGTTTGGGGTGTTTTGTGTTCAATGTTTTAGGTCATGCTCTGTCTCGAATGAACTGTTAGTCTCAAAAATTCATGATTTGATAAAAGGATCTTGTTAATCAAGCACAGTTTTTCTTACAAAAGTTGTACTCAGTACAGCGTCTCTTTTCTTCAAGGTGGAGTAAAGGATCGTAGACACGGTTGTGGGTACTGATCCTGATACGCATACTCTAATCATAGGCTTTCATTCTGATGGTAATGTTTAGAATTGCCCTATATGTGCTCTCTGTTGAGAAATAGCAGTGATCCTTCTAGTCACATCTGCTGCTTACTGCTATTCAGTGGGTCAGTGTTACATCATCTGCTGAAAGCCCAGGTCATTACCGCACTGGACCTGGAGGACTTCTGCCTGACCGTCTTACACAAGAACATAGTGAGCCGTGGTAACATAGTGGATTAGGAGATGAGCTCCTCACCACACGGTCAGCAGGTTAATCCACCGAGCTGTAGCTATGTCTGGCTAGAAAGGCCCATCTTCCATTACTCTGTGTGAAGTACCATTTATATGTTGTTGTTGTTGTTGTTATTAAGTGCTGCCAAGTCAGTTTCAACTCATAGCAACCCTGTGAAGCTGGTGGGTTTGAGCTGCTGACCTTGCGGTTCGCAGTCCAGTGCTGTGGACTAATGCGCTGAACTGCCAGGTTGGTTTGAACCACAAGGTCGGCAGTTCAAGCTCACCAGCCGCTGCGTGGAAACCCTATACAGGGTCACTATGGGTCGGAACTGACTCAACAGCACTTCACAGCAACAGTTACGAAAGGGCTACTATGCTTTTTAAATTGAATGACGTTAAAGTCCAGAAGACCCTACATCACAGTAAAAAGGTTTTTCTAAACTACTTCTCCATCTGATGCTGTTTTCCCAGAATATAAAAAAGCTCCTGAAGATTCCTTACAGCAAGTCCCATGTGAGCATGGCGGTGCACCGCATTGGGAGGACGCTGCTACTGGATGAGCTGGACATCCAGGAGCTGTTCATGCGATCGTCGCAGGTAACACTGTGCACAGCCCAGGCTCCTCGTGCTGGCCGTCTGAGCACTGCCGATGGCTACTTCTGAGAGAGCTGCCCAGAAACAAGGCGCTGCACTGACGAGCCCGAGCTTGAGTAAAGAGAAAGTAGGCCAGGAACAGGCAAGAGAATCACTGTTGACACTAACAGCCTCCTTTTCTTTCAGTGAAAAGAATGAAACACCTGGTGAAAATTGAGAGAAATCTCTAGAAGTTTTAAGGGACTTGCTTAAATTTTGAAAAATCACTTGATGTCTGCATTGAAGAGATTATCAAATATGATTATCAGGAAATGTGGAAAATGTCCATAGTTATTCCTGTGCATGGATAGTTGCTAGAATTAGTTGGTTCTGTTAAATCAGGGCTTCTCAAACTGCATGTTGGTAAAGGACTTTTCCCCTCTTCCCAGGTGGTAAGGATCGATATTGTTGTCAAATTCAGCAGCCGTGTAAAGCCCCTCAAGGCATCCTCACCATTTCCTGCCACTTTGTCCTGGATGGTCCTGTTGCATAGGCCCCTCTGCAAAGAATATTCCTGCAGTGCTTTGATTGAAGAGACTACATTCCCTTTATTTAAATTGATATTTAAAATCAATGGTTTTATCCCCTTTGAAAAGGCCAGGGTTCTGTTTAGTCTCATGGGAGGTCTTGTCACGTGAGGGTGAAAAATCTACAGACCGTGCTTCATACCAACTTTGGGTCTTCAGATCCCAACACATAGGATTGCAGTCCTCTGCACAGAGGGCTTACCCTACCTACCCCAGGTGCTGGAGAAGGAGCACCCCTCGCAGCCCAGCTAGGACAAGGAGGAGAATTGAAAGGTGATGGGAAGTGGTGCTGTGTTTATGAAGCTGTATCAGAGCATGGAGGAGTATTTCCTCAGACTGAAGGCGACAACAGATTATTCGGACTCTGCTTGTTGGTGAACTCAAGTGTCACTTCTTATGTCTTTCAGACTGGGGATTGGACGTGGCTGAAAGAGTTCTACCAACGACTGATTGACCAGAAGTGGCAGAGGAAGAAGAAGAGCAAAGAGCACTGGTATCAGAAAGCTATCCTCTCCAAGTTTTTATATTACAGGTACTTGGCTGCTTTTTGGTGTTTCTGTACGAATTAGGAGGAGAAATGAAATTGTGATCTGAGCTTCCTTTGATGCGTAAGGAGCTCACTGAGGGTTTGCCCCTGAGGCCTGGTGTCTTCCGTGTCTGGGAGTCAGTGGCCGTGGATCTGGGTTTGGGGGCTGGGAAAGTAGTTGTTAAAAGCCAGTAGACTGTTGCAGTGAACGTAGCCACCACGTGACCTTTCTTCTTTCTGACTTGGCTAGTATCAATGGTGACGGAGCCGCTCAGCCTGTGCCCTTTGCTGCTGAACAGCCGGAGACATCTGCTCCGGACCACACAAGTGACTCGGAAGGGGCTTCGTGGCCTGCCCCCTTTGAGATGCCTTCACCGGTCCCTGAGGATGCCAGTGCTTCTCCTCAGGTCAGCCCACACGCGCACTCACACCCTTCCTTTCAGGGGGAAAGCCGCCCGGCTTGTTCACACAGACAGAAGAGCGGGAGTCAAGACGGCCTCATCTCACCTCCCACAGGGGAGAAGCAGCAGCAGCTGTGTTGACTTTTCAAAACAACTGATAAAGATGATTTGGGATGGTGACTCCATAGGATAAACATTGAACTGCAAACCACAAGGTCGGCGGTTCAAGGTTACTAGCCACTCTGCAGAAGAAAGAGGGGGCTTTCTCCTTCCACTAAAGATTTAAAGCCGCAGAAATCCTATACAGAGTTGCTCTGAGTCGAAATCTACTCCTTGGCACTTAACACCAACTGTTTTAAATGGCTCGATCTTATTTTTCACTAACATTAAAACTGGCTTACTAGTATATCTGCCAAGGAGTCCTGGTGTGTCGTAGGCTAACCCACCAGCTACTCCTCGGAAACACTGTACAAGGGCTCTGAGTCAGAACCAATTCAACAGCACTTCTTACCAGCATATTTGCCAGTACTGGTGATCTCTCTCGAAGTGTTAAGACAGTACGGTGTAGTTAGCAACCTGTAGTATGTTGTTAACTTTTATGTCATGAATACCTATCAAATATCACATTCACAGGTTTTTTGTAACTTAAATACTGACCTTCTTAGCTTAACTTTTGTTTAGGTAGTGGTGGTGGTAAGTTCATGTAGTTGGTTCTGAGTCATAGCGACCCTGTATAGGGTTTCCGAGGAGCGGCTGTGGTTTTAAACCACCGACCTTCCATTTCAGTGCTTATCCTACAGCGCCACACTAGGATTCCTCACTTTTAGGTTGTTAGATCTGAAATAGCCCTTGAGGGTTTTGGGTGAAGCTTTTGAAATACTTAGCTTAAGTCTTAGTCTAAGATTAGAATGGAGAAGTGTTGGATATATTGACTGTTTTCTCTCTTTTCTTGGCTTTTTTGTATATTTTGTGTACTTTTATTCTTAGAATATCAATCAAAGAATAAAATAACCCCATAGATGCAAGTTGTGGTCTGCCTTTTTGGAGGAAAATGTTATCGATAAACTTGGAGAAGAGAAAATAAGATCTTTAACATGGTGGCTTTTGTTTTGTCTCCTGTTACATGTTGAATACTACTTTACCAGATAGTTTCTGTCTTCACAAATTAGAGTTTTAGAAAGCAGAGGACATTTCTGTTTATTTTCGTATTCTGAGCTCTTACTTGTTTTCCAGAACTGGGAGAAGGGGAAGGGAAGGGAAGGAGTTATTCCAGTCCTTGTGGGAACCGTGGCGGGATGGGGGGGGTGGATTGGGATTTGAGAAGGTGGGTGGGGGGGGGGCTGCCAATAATGTCCTGACTTGGTCCCATGGGCCATTTGCTTGTCTTACCTACTTACTTGTATGTGATTATACTTCACTAACGTGTTCCCTGAGTTCAGAAAGGCCCATGTCGCAGCACTCTCCCCCGACACCGGCCTCACCCGTCTCCCAGTCAGGCCTGTCACCCAGCCTGCCGCTGGCTCTAGGTGCTGGTGCTTGTGGAGGAAGCAGACTGGCATCTGTTAGCACCTCTTAGCCAGGTAGATGGAGTCCTGGTGTGGTGCTGTAGGATAAACACTGGACTGCTGACCACAAGACCTGTCGTTCACATCTATCAGCCGCTCCTCAGAAACCCTGTACAGGGTTGCTTTTGAATCGGAACCCACTCCAAGCCTCTTAACAGCAACATGCCCTATGTACTTTGATATTTGTGTGGAACGTAAAGGGTTTTTGCTCTTGGTGCATCCCTGTGTACGAAGTGGCTGATGGGTTTGAACTCCTGTGGCCAGTAATCCACTTTACAATTAATTAAAAGTTCATAAAAAGCTGATGTTTGTCCATGGCTTGACAGCTAGTGAAGTCCAAGCTAGGGTTTCAGCCCAGCTCTTGGT